ATTGAAATGCCTGAACAAAGACCAATGGCATCAACTTATTCACAGGCTTGCAATCAGCTATATTGCGGTCAGCCTATTCACAGGGTGGCAATCTGCCTATTCACAGCCTTGCAATTAGCCTATTCACAGGCTTGCATTTGGCCTATTCACAGGCTCTCAATAAGCCTATTCACAGGCTCACCCACCCAATCTTTATTAGTGAGACAAGCAGGGGATATTGGGAACGTATTCTGAGGACCTTTTCTTGATTGTCTGACATTACATTCAAAGCATATTCCTAAATCTGGGTATCATTTCAGTAAGTATGATTGCCTGGTTGATGTCCTTGCAATTAACTCGTCAATGCACAGCTTAAAAAACTCAGCTTCGGTGTTCCAAATTAATTCTGATAACAGTTAGATGGAATTGAATAGCCTTTTCAGCTGTTTCACATCATGGCGACACACATGATAATAAGCTTCAAACATCACACCTGATTCTTGGACATTGTAAGCTTCAACACCAACTCCAGGTCACGGCCCGCGATATATGTGGAATATTGCCGAGTGCAGTATAAAACAACAACCAGCTCATGATACGCCTGATCAGTGATGCTGTGAGGGTTTGGAAATGGAAAACCTGATCTGTAAATACAGACAATATTGATTTAATGCATGAAGTGATTTTTATGTGATGCTTATATATTCAACCTCATATTTGTTTTAAACTTAACTGTGCAAGTGAAAACTTACTGTGCGAGTGAGTATGGTTTTACGCCGCTTTTAGCAATATTCCAGCAATATCACGACGGGAAACCAAAATGGGCTTCACACATTGTACCCATGTTGGGAATTGAACCTGGGTATTCAGCGCTTTAACCATTAGGCTACCCAACTGCCCCTACACTTCACTGAAAGAAACCTGCAGGTTAAATCTAATGAAAGAACTTTCTACGTCCTCAGTGGCACTACTGTCCTCTAGTCTAGATAGAAGTCTACTTTCAGCTGAATATTCTTTCTAATGGTTGGTGATCCCATTTATTCATACAATACAAAATCTTATTGATTTTCTTCTGTGAAAATATTGAATGCCAAGTAATATTGCAAAATTTGCGTCTAAAACACATGGACAAAACAAAGTATTTAATGATAACAAAATATGAGACATAAAATCTTGATAAACTAACATAAGATATAAAAGACACTGGAGGACATAGCAATCAACAAACTACAGCGCAGATAAAATATAAATGCAAATCTGGACTTTAATATGTACAATTTTAAGAATTTAATTCGGTTTCTGTATGTCCATTAACACTGAAGTACAAAAAGTTCAAATAATTGACAATTCACACGTATCAGGTGGGGGGGTTACAATGAATGATGGCCGAACCTCAACCACTTCGATTAGCTGGCCTCAGTACAAATATTTATACAATACTATACAGGCTTGTATAACTGATTACCATAATCACGATAATCTCCACGTGACCTCGGACAGTCTGGACAAAACATACGTCATTGATCTGCAGGCTGAAGATCTTCAAGATCTTCTCTCTTCAGATTATATTAGCATTTATGTTTTCAATACGACAATTTGATGATACACACAGGACCACCGTTTGGACATTTCTGATAATTACATTGAAATAATGGACTCCGACAATCATGGACTGGCTTTTGTAAGTCACAAAAGACAAAGACAAATTTTGGCATCGACAAATGAGAGCAGACATTCCTCATGCTATCATGAGCTTTGGAAATGATTAATTTTTGACCACCAAAATCTATCAAAAAGGTTCAATCCTGATTCATAATTTTGCTGTTTTCCTAAATTCTAAGCTCCTTGAAAACTGCATTAGTGCAATGACATAACACTAAACATTAAAGCTCTTCCTCTTTAGTGCATGCTATCTGCAGGAACTAATGACAAGGTATCACAAGGGAGAATGCTACAATCGGCTTCCTCTCAGCGGCTAACTGTGCTTAAAGCTCAAACCTCTTCCTATGGTGACAGGAGTTTGGGTAAGGCAGGTCCAGTCCTCTGGAATAAACTACCATATCACATGTACAGCAAACCACTGGCGTTGACATTCCAGCATGAAGTGAAGACTCTGTTGTTCCTATGACCTGCGTCTCGAGCAACATTTGGATTTTAGGCGCCACATACATCTGAAGTTTATTATTATTATTACTGGTCCTATCAATAGTGATGTACACATTACCTCTTTAATCTTAACCACATGAACATGAAGTGGGGACTTTTTAATTCCAATGACATTTGCATCAGATTTGGGGTAAATTATCGGCCTTAGAGCAGCCCCAGATGCAACCATGTACAGCGACTTGACCCAGGGGTCGGAAAACCATGATACCAACCGATCAGTGTCACAATCTTGTGGGCGTGAACACATTATATAAATATGCATATTTATACCAGGAACTTTTTCATCTGGACTGTTCATAACTATCTACTCTATGTCCTTTGTCATGAAAAGAAGATGATGATTTAAAAAAATTATCAAAAACCTCTTCATGAAAATATGAACATATAACATTCACAGAATATACATTATCTTCGAAGCTTCTGACATGAAAAATCTCTCATAATCTTTAAAAAGATCATGAAAGATGGCACTGACAGCACTTTGAAAATTGCCAACTGAAAAAATGTGTCTTAGTAGTTCCTGAATCTGATAGTATCAGGGTACATTACACCAAGTGGGTGAGTTTAGTTTTACACCGCTTTTAGCAATGTTCCAGCAATATCACGGCGGGGGACACTAGAAATGGGCTTCATATTGCACCCATGTGGGGAATCAAACCCGGGTCTTCGGCGTGACAAGCAAACGCTTTATCCACTAGGCTACCCCACTGCCCCCAGTACACCAAGCAATAGTGCTACAGTTGTAGGAAGTCTATGTTAACGTATGGGAGTACAATAGCTGAAGCACTACAGTTCCTGTCTGGAAGAATTCCAGGCTTACATGTTCCACACACAACCTACATGTAAGAGGTCTGCTGTCATTTACTGTATCAAGAAGGTTAATATTCTGTCTTTGAAGTGACTTTGTTTTTACAGTGTTTCAGTCCTATCATGATTTGGGAGAACAATCAAATGTGATACCCACAATCAAGTTAAAATTGGGTCTAAACATCTTATCAACAACGTACAGAAAAGTTCCGACCATCATACAGTCTACAGTCTAAACCAACATGCCATGATAATCGAGTGATGAAGTACTCGTCATTTAACAAGCTTGAACCTTTATCATTCATCTGCATTTATATTGATTCTGGTCCGTTTCTGGTTTCTTATATCAGAACTACTTGCAAATTAAAGTGTCTGCAGTATCAACTTAAAATGGTTTGTAACCATGACAGCGTACTGACAATATTTACATGGACAACATGGAACAGCGCCTAGCACCTGTTACCAGCAACACAGCAGGCAAGGCCAATATATATACAGCTCTGTGTGGACTAGGCAGTTGTGAGTGCGTAGGGTCCAGTCCATGAACACTGCAGGAACAGCAGCGACATATCCAGAGAACCATGAAACTCCACCTAAAGTATGAAGAACCAGGAAGGACAGGGCAAGTCCATGAGAAGACCGAACCGTACATGAGAAGTGTTTTACACCCCACCCAGAAATTTTCCAGCACTATAACGGCAGGGTAAACCCAAACTGGGCACCGCACTTTGCATTCATGTGCATTTAGGATCAAACGAACTATGAACCCCAGGTAAAGACTATCACAGTGAGAGCTGTACTTTTAGTATTTCATGTTACTGTTAGCCATATCGGCACTCAGCTGGGTCAGGCACCGTATTGTACAGAACTCGGATCTTGGACATTAAAGGCCAAAACTTCAACCACAAGAGTACCTCACTGATACCCCCGAAAGACAGACCTACTCGGTCACAGAAGCCAAATCCTTACTCGGTCACAGAAGCCCTGTCCCCACACGATCACAGAAGCCCTGTCCCTACACGGTCACAGAAGCCCTGTCCCCTACACGGTCACAGAAGCCCTGTCCCCTACACGGTCACAGAAGCCCTGTCCCCTACACGGTCACAGAAGCCCTGTCCCCTACACGGTCACAGAAGCCCTGTCCCCTCACAGAAGCCCTGTCCAGAAGCCCTGTCCCCTACACGGTCACAGAAGCCCTGTCCCCTACGCACTCCGGTCGCTCTAAAACTGACGATATACAGCTAACATGCAGGTTCAGGGCACTGCCCTGATTGACAAGTACAACTGTTGAAGTCTATGTTGCATATTAGCAAACACAAGATGGTGTTGGAGATATAGGATGATGTTGGTTGGTGGGGCTGTCTCATTCACAGAACCATCAAAATTAACCCTGGGTACCTGATAAACGTTTACATCATTACGTACTATGCTTCCATTGCTTTGTGACAAAGTTATATAAATTTCAGCAATTTCAAAATATTCATTACTTTGCATTAACACTGTAACTCTCCCTGTGTAAATAACCAGTTGATCGGCAGTCGAACACTGCATTGAAGGAACCTACAAAAATTATCTGAGGTTCGACACAACCCCGGAATAATGATTAAAGTACTATGAAGTGTCAAGCTTTTACTTTGTGCAACTGTAAATCGACACAAAGTTCAACACAAAGGTTTTCGTATTTTGAGTTTTTAAAAATTATTAGAATACTAATAATAAGTGAATCTAGGATGGAGATGCTAACATGCCTTGGGAATAATTGGAAAGTTTGTCCATTAATTGAGTAGCAGAGCAAAGCAACCATCTTGATGAAAACTGATGAAAGTTCTACAACTGAGACGCAAGAGCTAGAGAAAGCCTGGTTACAAACTGATGTAACCACACACATAATGTAGACATTGTGCCCTGGGTAGATTTACATGATCAGCAGGTATCCCGGGTATGTTTCAATGGTATCCTCTAGAGACAGACACCAACAGTTTTGATTGCTGCCTTAGTTCTTGTAGTGAGTTGACCTGACTTCAACATTTCACCGGTCTAGGGTAAACCTAGTAGTTGCCACGGTAACCTTGTCCTCCCCTGCCTCGGTAGTCACGGTTTCCATGGTAACCTTGACCTCGGCTCTGGCCATATCTATCTCTTTGGTTACCATAGTTGTCACGGTAACCTCCTTGTTGATGCTGATTTCCATGGTAACCTCCTTGATTTCTATCATGACCACCTTGGTATCTGTTGTAATTTCTGAAACATGAGATCAACTGGGTCATTAAACATTTCACACAGCAGCATGACGAAACACATGGAAAATCTTTAACATAACTTACCACAGGTAATCTCAAACAAGATAACCTTCAACCTTTATTATAAACAACAATGGAAAGTGAGAGAGTGAGTGAGTATGGTTTTATGCCGCTTTTAGCAATAGTCCAGCAACATCACGGCAGTGAACACCAGAAATGGGCTTCACACATTCAGGGGTAGAAAAAAAACAAATTTCTAAGTGAGCCTTAGGGGACCAGACGAATATGTTAGACGTGCCTTTCAGAAATGACTGACTGAGTTTTGGTTTTACGCCGCTTTTAGCAATATTCCAACAACATCACGGCGGGGGACACCAGAAATGGGCTTCACAAATTGTACACACGTGGGTATTCGAACCCTGGTCTTCGGCGTGACGAGTCAACGTTTTAACCACTAGGCTACCCCACCGCCCCTTTTCAGAAATGAAGTGTGCCCACATGTTCTTAGAATAAATGACTGTAGCAATGATGATGATCACTTGAAATTTATTGTTAGTAAACAACAAATATAACATGTTTTCTGTTATCACTGATATGTCTTCTGTTCAAGATGGCTTTCTTATGTTTCATTTGTTCTGCTTTCCCAGCCCCTTTAATAGCTAAATTTTTGTGACAGATTCACTTGTTAAATATATCTAACATACACAATTTCTTCTTCAATAACCGAACTATCAGTACTCCCATCACCATAAATAGAAAAACAACCTGATTTCTTCACATCATCCATCATAATTCCAGTGATGTCCTGGGCGATAAAGTCAATAAATGTTTTCACTTGTTTGTCATTTGTTTACATGTTTAGTTTTTGGGATCAGGTGACTAAAGGTGAGTTATGTCTCTAAACAATTAGGCGTGCCATAAGGGCACCGAGAATTTTTTATCCGTGCCATTTCAATTTTTACTGTGCCATGGCACGCTAATATATGGAGTATTTCGAACCCTGACATTGTACCCATGACCGGAGTTGAACCCGGATCTTCAGCATGACGAGCGGACGCTTTAACCACTAGGCTACCCCACCGCCCCTAACAATGCACAGACTCCATGCTGTCAGGACACCATATCATGCAAATCATCGAGCATGACCACCAGACTCAAACATTATTAGTGATTATAACCACTAGGCTACCCCACCGCCCCTAACAATGCACAGACTCCATGCTGTCAGGACACCATATCATGCAAATCATCGAGCATGACCACCAGACTCAAACATTATTAGTGATTATAACCACTAGGCTACCCCACCGCCCCTAACAATGCACAGACTCCATGCTGTCAGGACACCATATCATGCAAATCATCGAGCATGACCACCAGACTCAAACATTATTAGTGATTATAACCACTAGGCTACCCCACCGCCCTAACAATGCACAGACTCCATGCTGTCAGGACACCATATCATGCAAATCATCGAGCATGACCACCAGACTCAAACATTATTAGTGATTATAACCACTAGGCTACCCCACCGCCCTAACAATGCACAGACTCCATGCTGTCAGGACACCATATCATGCAAATCATCGAGCATGACCACCAGACTCAAACATTATTAGTGATTATAACCACTAGGCTACCCCACGCCCCTAACAATGCACAGACTCCATGCTGTCAGGACACCATATCATGCAAATCATCGAGCATGACCACCAGACTCAAACATTATTAGTGATTATAACCACTAGGCTACCCTAACCGCCCTAACAATGCACAGACTCCATGCTGTCAGGACACCATATCATGCAAATCATCGAGCATGACCACCAGACTCAAACATTATTAGTGATTATAACCACTAGGCTACCCCACCGCCCCTAACAATGCACAGACTCCATGCTGTCAGGACACCATATCATGCAAGTCATCGAGCATGACCACCAGACTCAAACATTATTAGTGATTATAACCACTAGGCTACCCCACCGCCCCTAACAATGCACAGACTCCATGCTGTCAGGACACCATATCATGCAAATCATCGAGCATGACCACCAGACTCAAACATTATTAGTGATTATAACCACTAGGCTACCCCACCGCCCCTAACAATGCACAGACTCCATGCTGTCAGGACACCATATCATGCAAATCATCGAGCATGACCACCAGACTCAAACATTATTAGTGATTATAACCACTAGGCTACCCCACCGCCCCTAACAATGCACAGACTCCATGCTGTCAGGACACCATATCATGCAAGTCATCCAGCAGGACCACCAGATTCAAACATTACCAACAACAACAGCATGCGTCAAAAACTAGAACTAATAATACCTCAGTCCTTTGTATTATTCTAGCAATATTTGTCTCATCCCAAGTATTACATATAGAAAAATCTACAACCTTTTGGGCTACAAAACCCGACTAATAAAATTCAATTTGTCTCACACTAACACAAAATTGTGGAGGCTTAGACAACCAATGGATAACCAACAGATTGAGCTACGAAACAATCCAACAAATTTCAAGTTGACTCACACCAACACAACTCAGTGGGATAACCAGTTGGGCAGGGGTGGAAATAACCCATTGCCCGACGCCCGAGTCCAGTGGTTTTTTTCTGTCGGGCTAGCAAATTTGTATGTCACACTGTACCGGTGTCCAGTTGACTTTCCAATGTTAATAATGTTGTTTATTTAAAAAATCAATAAGAAAATCAGCCAGTATAGTGGAAAACTTATCAGGGCAAGTGATTTTACATGTGCCACTGTACCGGAGTACATTAGCAATTTTAAAGTTATTTCCACCCCTGATTCATTCATTTTTCACCGCAAAAACAAAAATTTGAGGCACCTAATGTTTAAATTCCATTTCTGATGTCTCTCGTGTTAATATTGCTGAAACAGACCCAGAACCATACTCACCACTTCTAAAACAAGACAGATCTGCAACGCTCACCTATTGTCACTGGGATACCTCCGGTCATCATAGCGGTGACCACCACCACCGTGTCCACCATACCGATCTCGATCAGATCGATGCTGCTCATGCCGGTCACGATCTCGGTCATAGCCCCGGTCACGTGACCTATCATGGTCATATGACCTGTCTCTGTCCCGGTCATGTGACCTGTATCTATCTCTATCATCTGACCGGTCTCTGTAGTGGTCGTGAGATCGGTCTCTGTCCCGTGACCGCTCTTGGCTGTAGGGTTTGTTTGGCAACCTTGGAAGGTCACTGGGCACCTGGGCTTTCGCTGAATCCGACTTGGAATCTTTGGTCTAGCACAGAAATAATGCTTTATTACAGCAACTCAACTTATCAGATAATTATACTGTTTTTCTTATTGTTTATAATGTTTACAACGACAGTTTTATTTTTTTAAAAACCGAAAAAAACCTCCTCATCATCTTACAAATGCAAAAAGACCAGAATTGGCCTCTGGAGATCTGACGTGGAGTGAAACAAGTTTCGGGTTTAGGTGGTTCTACATTCAATATCTGATGGGAGGTGACTCATATGTTAACTAGAAAGTGCTTTTACTCGTAAAAACAGATGCCTCCCCCATTCAACGTTGAGACCTCAAACAATTCATTTGATTCCTTCAATTTCAAAATCTCAAAGTATGAAAATACATATTATACATGTTTTATAGCAGTCCATGTATATGGCTGATGCTTCTAAGCTTACTAATAATTGGTATTGGTATTAAGTATACACATTTTGGTGAAGATGGGAAGTGGTTTTAGAGTTATGCTCCGACCACAAACCCTACCCTTCAAAAAGACCAAGTCCAAAGTGGTTGCCATTGAAACAAAAAAATAAAATTGAAAGAAATGTTCAAATCCCCAAAATGCACATCTACATGATATGGAGAGGCAGTATACCATATCTGGCGAAGATGGGTCAAATAGTTTCAGAATTTTGCTCCGCGGAAACGAACTTTACCCTTCAAAAAGACAAAATCCAAATTGTTGCCATGGAAACAGAAAAAAAATACAAAAAAAAAATACAAACCCCTCAAATCCCCAAAAGGTACATCTACATGATATGGAGATGCAGCATACCAAATTTGGTGAAGATTGTTCAAGAAGTTTTAGAGTTATGTACCGGAAACAATGGGAATGCCAGCGCAGACGGAAACACAACCAAAAACAGTATGTCTCCCGACCCTCCGGGGGGAGACACAATTCACAACATATGTTGCAGACATGGAAGAGAAAAAATAGTATCTGGGAGATTTTCACTTAAACTATGCTATGAAACAAAGATAAAATACTGATTATGTGGCACTGTTGAGAATATGTGCATAGATTGAGAAAATGTTTTGAGACAGGAGAATTCCAGTCTATTTGTTTCATGCTCCCTCCAGTCCTCAAAAAATCAGGCTCAGATCTACTATTTATCCTTGTATTAATGTGATCATGTCACATTTTTACTACGAGCAGAGCATACAACACATTCAATCAACTGTTGAATAATCGTTCTAGGGTATTTAACAGTATCCCTATACTCACAAAGTCCTTGGGTTGACTAGGTGGTAGACGGGCAGGCTGTTGGTCACCAGTCTCCCTGACACTCTCAGCTTCTTCGGGCCCCCCAGCATTCTTGTCACCAGAGGTCAACTGTTCACCTTCTTCAGGGGCAGCAGATGATTCCTTCTCTGTCCCCAGAGACACAGCCTCTTTCGTGTTCTCCTCAAGATCTTCAGATGATGGCTTCTCACTTTGTGAGACACTTGTCTCCTCACCATCTGGCACCGTCTCTTCTGTGTCCATATCACTCGATGTCTCGGGCCGAGGTGCCTCTTTCTTTTCACCTTCAGCCACATCTTCAGCCGCATCTTCTTGCTTGCCCTCCTCAGCATCTATCTGAGCTGGACTGTCACTGAGTCTCTCATCCTCTGTCTTACTCACCTCAGACACAGGTTCCTGTTCCTCTGATCCTGGCTGTGTCTCACTAGTCTCTACGTCTGACTGTTTCTCACTAGCCTCTGCTTCTGGCTGTGTCTCACTTGTCTCCAATTCTTGGAACGTTTCACTAGCCTCTGATTCTGGCAGTGTCTTGTCAACCTCTGGTTCTGACAGTGTTTTGTCAACTGCCGAATCTTGCTGTGCCTCACTGACATCTGGGCTGAACATTTTGCTCATCAACCATCACTGGCTCCTGTGCCTCACTGGCACTTGACATCATGGACTCGCTATTATCTGGCTGTGGAGACTCACTATCTTCCAGCACCTTATCCTCTGTGTCCTTCTCCTCAACAACTGATGTGTCTATACCTTCTTCAGCCTCTTCATCACTGCCTTCTTCAGCACCCTTTGTGTCCTCCTCAAGGACTGATGTATCCATACCTTCTTCAAGCTCTTTATCACTGCCTTCTTCAGCTTCCTCCGAGTTCTTCTCCCTAACAACAGATGTGCCCATACCTTCTTCAGCCTCTTTATCACTGACTTTTTCAACTTTCTCTGTGTCCTTATCACTATCTTGCTCTTGTTCACTCGTCTCACCCTTTTCACCAGCCTCTTTATCACTATCTTGAATCTGTTCCTTATCGATACTCCTTTCACCACTGCCTTCTTTCAATTTTTCACTTTCGCCTATATCACTTCCTTCATCCTCATCTTTATCAGGTTCTTTCTCATTGTCTGCATCCTTCTCTCCTTCATCTTCAGTGTGGACCGTGTCTTCAACAGTGTCATTCACCTCATCACCTTTATCTTTATCAGCTGACACTGAAGGTTCTTCCTCATCGTCTTCACTATCAGCAAGAGCACTGTTCACCAAGGAGTCAATGTTAGTGGCATCGTTCGAGTTGTCCTCCGGTTCCGGGCTGAAAGCCTGGGGAAAAGATGGCAACAAGCTCAACAATGTGTCACATGGGTTCAATCACATTAAGTGTCACTGTATGTGGATTACAACAATGTGTTACTGTGTCTCAAGCACATCAATGTGTCACTGTGTCTCAAGCACATCAATGTGTCACTGTGTCTCTGCTAAGGACAGCAATGTGTCACATCTTCTCAACCATAACAATGTGTCACACGGTCTCATCCATAACAATGTGTCACTGTCTGAAGCACAACAATGTGTCACATGAATCAAGCACAACAATGTGTCACATGGTCTCAACCATAACAGTGTATCACTGTTTCTCAAGCATAACAATGTGTCACAGTGTCTAAATTACAACAATGTGTCTCAAACACAACAAAGTGGCACAGCGGGTGAGTGACTGAGTGAGCTTAGTTTTACACCGCTTTTAGCAATATTCCAGCAATATCACGGCGGGGCACACCAGAAATGGGCTTCACACATTGTACCCATGAGGGAAATCGAACCCAGGTCTTTGGTGTCACGAGCAAACGCTTTAACCACAAGACCCCACCATCCTGGACCAGACAGACATATGTCATCAGGATACACTAGTTCCATTTAGTGATGTTTCATTGAACAAGCATACGTTGTAGTGGACATGTAAACAAACGCCAGTGTTACCCTATCACTGCTGTCGCCGGCTCCAAACACCGACGCCTTGGTGGGTGTCTTGTCGTCCTTTAGCTTGACCGTCAGCCATCTGCGAGCCCCGGTCAGCTCGGGTGGGATACTGGGGTCCCGAGGCTCCTGTTGGTCGTCTTTGGGGAGAGCCTTCTCACTGACCGCAGCTGAGGTGAAGCGCTTTTCTGAAATCCACAAACATTAATGTCATAGACATGAAACTATATCTTAAACAGTATTGCATCTTATGCTTACTATGAGGCAAAGCTGACACCCAATCAGCAGGTCACGATTTAAATGAAAGGAAACAATTTGAACAATATTTTCTCTTATTATTTAAGCATATATTTCTTATTTGTCCAATACAATTTAAAACAGATCGATACGGAAGGGTAGCAATAAACATTTCAGTTTGTTACTCAGATTTTATCACAGTTTTCATTCCAGGATGAAGAGACTAGATATGATACGTAAACATGACTGACAGTAGCAGGCAATGGGTGAGATGGTGATGGTGATGGTGATATTGATGTTGCAGGGGTGGAAATAACCCATTGCCCGACGTCCGAGTCCAGTGTATTTTTCCGTCGGGCAAGCAAATTTGTATATCACGCTGTACCAGTGTCCAGTTGACTTTCCAATGTTAATAATGTTGTTTATTTAAAAAATCAACAAGAACACGGACGGTATAGTGGAAATATTATCAGGGCAAGTGATTTTACATGTGCCACTGTACCGGAGTACACTAGCAATTTTAAAGTTATTTCCACCCCTGTGTTGGTGGTGATGATGATGATGATGATGATGATGATGATGATGATGATGATGATGCTGAGTTGTCCTGGTTTGTCTGATCCAGGCTAAAAGGCTGTTTTGATAAAGTCATTGTACTGAGTGGTTGGTTTATTGTTTAACGCCACACTCACAGCTATGTCTGATGATGATGATGATGATGATGATGATGATGACGACGACGATGATGATGTACATCACTACTCATCATGCACATGCAGTGTACGAAACACAGGGGATACCATTCCACATCAACTCCACATCAACTCTCTGCGTTAGGAGATTACAGTTTGGAAGCAACAAAGCTTGTTTGTTAGGAAGCCAAGTGCCAAATCTACTTCACCTGTATATATTTCTGTTAAGATATATTTGACATATAAGTGTACACTACAGATGAACCTTATGACCACAAACCTGAGTGGACCAAAACTCAACTTTATGACAACCTGCCATGTGACCAGAACAGTGCATGGAGATAACGATTCCCCCTTAATTAATCACATGCTTTGTGAAACATCAATTATTACACTGGCTCTAACAAATGTAAAGAAGTAATGTGAACAGCTTATAAAATAAAAAATCAGTAGATACATCAAAGATCAGCAACCTGAAGAATTACAAAAAATTATCTTTCCTCATTACGTGATAACCTAAATAGTTTCCAATATCCATACGTGCTGTTGGCAAATTAAAAACTACCCTTTGTTCATTATAACAGTTAGCAATGCACAAAGCTTTGAGACATTGGTACAGACATGATAGATGACTGACTGACTGACTGACCGAGTTTGGTTTTACGCCGCTTTTAGCAATATTCCAGCAACATCACGGCGGGGGACACCAGAAATGGGCTTCACACATTGTACCCATATGGGGATTGAACAATACACTGACAACTGAGGCCAGCCCAATTAGCTTTAACCACATAGGCTACCCCACATGCCTATGATAGATGATTGGAGAGGGAAGATAAGATTGGATGTTTCGTTTAATGTTATAACAGTCAAAGTATTTGGATAGATAAACAATCATTGGCATTATGGAGGGGATAAAAGAATTGAACTGATGTCCGCACACAATACAGATGTTGTCATTCCCTTCCTATCAATTATTGTCAAGGCAGATTCAAACTTCAAAGTTAGAAAAAAGTCCATCTCAATCAATTTTAATTTCCTAAAACAGTTCACACATAAATATCTGTTCACAAGTGCTTTCAACCAATCATCACAAACAGACCATTTCCAAGAAGGGACTTGAGAGGAAATGGATAAAAAAGGTCAATGTCTTAAAATCACAACAAAATGAAATGTCTTTTGTATGTTCATAGGACTGTGCGAGTCACATAAGTCAGCGTACAGTGAAACTGTGTGGACAAACAAATGTCTATTGTTTCAGAATTTGATATATGGACACTGATAACACACAGTGTGTCATCAGTCATCTGACGTCAGACGTACTACTTTTCCTGGTGGAAGGATTGCCATGAGGAAACTTAGATGGTAGGTGGAGACACTACTTGTTTTTTCTAATAAACTTTTTCCTTGAATAATTAGTAGAATATGTCATCATGTGTATGATTTTGCATTTAGCGGTATTCAAAAACACAGCATCACTTTTCATCATATTTGGGCGGGAGAGTAAAAAAGAAATGTTAGAGGAATGCATAATAAAATATAAAAAAAATAAATAAAAACCAAGGTCACTGAAACTCTTCGGAACTGATGGTTTCTTGACAAGTAGAGATGGACGAGAGCCTCATGGTATACACACATAGGGAGACAACTGCTCAACATGCCCCAGTAACATAAATATATAAAACAGCAGCGCAACAAGTGAAGTCAAACCAGTGGTTGATATAGTGAGCATTCATCCATACAGTCACAGAAAGAAGATTGACTTGGGAAAGCTGATATCAAATTCTTCACAAAGTTAAGGATAAATCAATACTGATAAAGTCAGAAATTGTGGACTTCGGCTGCTGAAGTGAAACTACTGGGCATGTGTAGTTGTGTCCCTGTGTGTCACGCACGTACACACACGCTAACTACAGGGTGTTAATGAGTAGATATAGACGTGAGCAAGCACGCTAGGCTAGCCTGCCAGTCAGTCAGCGTTGGCTCTCACCATAACGTTCATCGTCGTCTTGGTCCTCGGACGCACCAGCTGTTGTGATGAAACACATGACAACGCTCTTTAACAATCGTAGTCGCTCGGGTATAAGCCCACGAACCAAACTGGACAGTGAATGTTCTACTATGTAAATGAATCGCTATGGATAAATTAATGCTAAACCATATCCAGACATGCCAACCTTAGTAGAAACTGGGTAAAACAGTGTAATCTAAAGTGAAAGAGTGAAACAATAACAGTAAAACGATGGGTATTTTGGCTTTGCAATTTTTAATAGTGAAACACTAAGTCATGGTCCAAGATTAACGCACTTACGAAAATTCATCACTTGACACTAATTATCTCATTTTCTAGGAAAACAATGAAGTTCCACAGAAACACATGTACCCATCCTAGATGGAACACGGGAATTATAAATCCAAAATGATAACAGTTGGGACTTCTGCACATCACACATGGATACAAAGTGTTTTTTCCTGGGCCCCATTCCTCAAAGCGATCGTAGTGCTACGACAGTTGTAAGTCTATGAAGAAGTATGGAACTTACGACTGTCGTAACGCTACGATCGCTTTGAGGAATGGGGCCCTGCACTATATTCTGTTTCACGAGTTTCCTTTGCCACAAGGGAATCCATGTAGCTAATAGCTTTTAATAAATTTCATACTGTTGCTTTTATTGAGGGTGTCAATACAAAACGAAGTCACACATGACGATTTGATACATGAAATCACCTGTGTATCTTTAAAGATATGTATCAATAGTCCAAAGAGAATGTTTATGAAGTTTTGCTATAGCACATCCCAATTCCTACTCCAACTAACAGAACCTTTCCACCTATCACAAACCTAAACATTTAATCTAAAAACACTTTAAGCCAAAGTCAAAATCCTATTAAATATGTATCAACATGTGATCAATATCCTAGTCATACCACATAAATAACCCTGATCAAACTACCAATACAATAAGCATGGTTATTCTATTTCTGAAAACGACTGTTTCACTATCAAAAGATGGATTCACTAGGATTCACTTGGAGCAGTTGTCGTGATGATTCAATACCCTTCAATGTAGGTGTTGTTCCCACCCTGACAACCTACACGGGGTAGCTTGGAGCAGTTGTCGCGATGATTCAATACCCTTCAATGTAGGTGTTGTTCCCACCCTGACAACCTACACGGGGTAGCTTGGAGCAGTTGTCGCGATGATTAAATACCCTTCAATGTAGGTGTTGTTCCCACCCTGACAACCTACACGGGGTAGCTTGGAGCAGTTGTCGCGATGATTCAATACCCTTCAATGTAGGTGTTGTTCCCACCCTGACAACCTACCGGGGTAGCTTGGAGCAGTTGTCGCGATGATTCAATACCCTTCAATGTAGGTGTTGTTCCCACCCTGACAACCTACACGGGGTAGCTTGGAGCAGTTGTCGCGATGATTAAATACCCTTCAATCTAGGTGTTGTTCCAACCCTGACAACCTACACGGGGTAGCTTGGACAAGAAGGTTAATGATGGTAGTCAACTTACGCAAGTCACTAGAGAGAGTTATGCAATACTAAAAGAGAGATTTGCTGCTATTACGTAGAAATGTGTCTAAAACTTGCTAATTCCTTAAGGTGACCTCGATATCCTGCAATACTAGTAAACATATAGTGGTCGAGTCTAATCACCCCTGTGGCCGTACGCACATGTCGGGCGTAAATTCTAGTCCTGGCATAAGTAAAATGTGGCGAGCTCAATATTTACCAATCCCAGCAGGTAACCCTGTAATGGCGGTGTAATGGCGCAGTATACCGATACTTATAACGCGGACGACAGTTCTACAGAAACCGTATATTAAGAAAAAGGTCAAACCCTTTAGAAATATATGACGACCTTGATCTGTACAGATGATTTAGATTCAGGAGAATGGACATATTCAAGATAGTGGATACAATGAGAGGTGATATTGATTATGGCTCCTACCGCAATTCCAGTCTTACTCCGGAAAATCAGGTACTTGTAGCCTTACGGTTTTATGCTACGAGATCATTTCAAAATGTAGTTGGGGATACTGTGAGTGTTCATGAGTCTACGGTTAGTCGAACAATTTGCAGATTTCCATTGTCTCTTCAGCGGGGAATGAATCAGTGGATCTACTTTCCCGACCAATATGAACCCGTAGCACTGACAGTTTTTACAACATGGCAGGGATTCCCGGTGTAGTAGGATATGTTGCGAAGTTGTTTCGCAGTGGTTTAAAAATGTTGGAAAATTCTAAAAATATCACACTGCACCTAGATGTAAATCCATTAACTCGGGCGTAGTAACGCTTTGGCTTAATTGACGTTGTGCATGACGTGTAAGAGCAGGGTGCTGCTAAGCCTGACGTAGTGCGTTACGCCTGAATGTAAGCTACGCCTGACATGTGTACACGGCCACTAAGCATAAAATATCCTGTTGAGATAGTGTGATTATCTCTGAAACATATCCAACAAGAGCTGAAATTTCTATTTGAAATCATGATGCTAAAGGGATCTTAAACTTAAAATGAAATGATGCCAAACACTTCTAAACCTACTAGCAACTCATTAGCAGCTGGTAATGTTAAAATAGCTGAGCTTACAAGCTTGAAATAAGTTTTACCACGTTTACTAGACTCACTTTAAAAGGCTGAAGGCTCAAGAAATATTAAGATCAAATTCTTGTGACAGTAAGAAAACAATGTTTCTTACGATTATATCAATGAGACTTTTAGATTCACTGATCCTGCACTGAGCATAAGATTCTGATGGACGGAACATTTTTGTAACCTGTTCAAGCATTACAGATTTTAAAAACACAAAAACAGAATAAAACCTTCACAAAAATATGTGAAAGAAACTCAATACCCTTACAATTTAAATCTTTCTTTCACAGATGCTAACACACAATGTAATGTTACAACAAAGGACACTGTCTTGTAGATCCTACCTTTCTGATCCTATGTGAAGGTCTGAGCAGATATACAGCTCTCATGTTCATGGACATGTTATGCATCACATTGCAAACATTCAATTGTTCAATCCTACCACAGTTTTCAAAATCACAAGCAGAAAACAAAAGACTTTTTCAAAACTTCCAAGAGAGAAGCCTTAACAAAATTAGTTAAGAATTTTGTTAGAGTCGGCAGATGAGGGTGATCTCCCCTTTCCTGGTCAGAAAGATGAGAGTAACCTCCGTTTGAGAACAAGGCCACGATTCTACAGATGCAGCCATTGACACAATACTCACTTGATACAATATTTGGTTTCTTGACTAGGCCGAGAACATCGAGGAGAGAAGCTCCTGGTCTTCTTCTTGGGTCTTGTTCCTCATCAACTAAACAAAACAGTTTAACAAAACAGCTGAACAAAACAGTAGGTGTAGCCTTATTCAAATCAGTCTCAGTGTCTCAGCCAAATTAAATATTTTACTTCTCATGACACCAGGACCAGGAAACAAGGGAGGACTTTGTTTTCTTTTTATTTAGTGGGGTACAGATCCATAAAACTCGATTTGAATGTTCGCCATATATTTCTCACTTTCCTTGAACTCAAAGTGTGAAGAGATGAGGTCTAGAGAATGGTTCAGTTTACCTACAAATCTGACACACATTGTTTATACAGAAACTGACATAAAACAAATTTGAACTGTTAAAGGTGTTTTTTAACAGTACTCAAAATACTACAACAACATCAGGGCTGGGTTACTGAAGGTGTAGACTGTCATATGAAACAAGAAACAGATTTAAGGGGCTGTTCATAATTCATGGCTGGGTGTGTGTGTGTGTGTGTGTGTGTGTGTGTGTGTGTGTGTGTGTGTGTGTGTGTGTGTGTGTGTGTGTGTGTGTGTGTGTGTGTGTGTGTGTGTGTGTGTGTGTGTGTGTGGTGTGTGTGTGTGTGTGTGTGTGTGTGTGTGTGTGTGTGTGTGTGTGTGTGTGTGTGTGTGTGGTGTGTGTGGTGTGATGATTATGATGAAGAGCATGTACAATGTGAATGACAGCCCCCTAAAATTATGGGCAAAGTATGTGAACACCCCCTATGCATGTGTCATGTACAAAATCAATGACCACCCCCTACCCCCCAAATTATTTTAAAGTGTAATTTTTTTCATATTATTATGTACATAATTGCTGAACCCTGGTTGTACATCTGTATAAAATTGATGACCCCCACTACCTCCCCATAACAAAATGGGTGACCCCCCCTTTAACTTCATCATCACCCACCCCAGCCATAAGTTATGAACGGTCACTAACAATGATCGCACACACAAAAACGTGTCCCTGATATTAGACAAAATATGGAAAGCAAGTTTACAGTTCAACACTTCTGTGATATTACTTTAACAAATGAGAATCTCTATATTTCTTCAGTGCTGGACAAAGCAAATATATTTTTTCATTTATTCAGGAATTGCCCAATTTCAAAACTGGTAATGTTTCAGATTCTGACAATAATTTCTAATGCTCCTTATTTAATGTCTGATGTTGTTTTAGTTGTTGTTTAAAGCTGCACTCAGCTGAATTCAAGCTATATGGTGGTGGTCTGTAATTAATCGAGTCTGGACTAGACAATCCAGTGATCAACATCATGAGGATCCATCTACGAAATTGGGATACGATGACGTGTCAACCAAGTCAGCGAGCCTGACCAACCATTCCCATTAGTTGCATCTTACGACAAGCATGGGTTGCTGAAGACCAATTCTAACGCGGATGTTCACGGCTACTTTTATGTCTTAGAGGTGAATATATTTTACCTCTGTCCTCTTTGGGTGGTAAAATGGGTTTCTCCTTGTAGCAGGATCGCTTGGTGCAGAATACAAGATGATTGGCTGAAATGTACAACAGGACATAAAGATAACCACATGAAAGGCATACTAACACAACCAACATGAGGTACGGTCATACTAGCATTGAAAGATACATATATTTGAGCATTCTCAGAACTAATATGATGGTACATCAGACATCATTAGCTAGTTGAGATGTAAATCAGAACATGAGTTGGTTGGTTGGTTTGTTGTTTTATGCCGCACTCAGCAATATTCCAGCTGTATGGCAGAGGTCTGTAAATAATCGATTCTGGACCAGACAATCCAGTGATCAACACCATGAGCATCGATCTACGCAATTTGGGATACGATGACATATGTCACACAGTGAGCGAGCCTGACCACCCCATCCCGTTAGTTGCCTCTTACGACAAGCTTGGGTTGCTGAAGACCAATTCAATTGGATTATCAAGGGTCCAGAACATGAGAGGGTGCACCATTAGTTACTGGATTGTTTTCATCATTAGATAGTTGAGGGGAAATTCAGAACACGAGAGTGAATGAGTGAGTTTAGTTTTACGACGCACTCAGCAATATCCCAGCTATATGGCGGCGGTCTAAATAATTGAGTCTGGACCAGACAATCCAGTGATCAACAGCATGAGCATCGATCTGTGCAGTTGGGAACCGATGACATGTGTCAATCAAGTCAGCGAGCCTGACCACCCGATCCCGTTAGTCGCCTCTTACGACAAGCATGGGTTACTGAAGACCAAGTCTAACCCGGGACCTTCACGGGTTGGAACAAGAGAGGATGCACCATTACTTACTTGAATGGCTGCACCATTAACTTGAAGGTTTACCCAAGTCATTGGAGAGGGTTCATCATTAGCTAGTTGAGACATACATGACATCACACAGAGTGTTCATAGCTAGTTAAAGGTTAGATCAGACTAGTGGTGAGGCAAGTGTTGTCCACTGACCTATCGTATTCCCATACCGACTGCCAAAGCCACACAGACAGTACATGGGAGCCGGTAGCGAACGCTCCCAGGGTATGTTGAGGCTGAGGCTGGTGATCTGGCCGGAGTGGAAACCCATCATGTGGTTGGCATAGGCGAAGCTGCAGCTGGTGGCGAACCGACACATGGAACACTGGATGTACTTCCTGCAAGGTGCAGCCAGGACAGGTTAGCAGTCACAAAGTCTCATTACAAACATTAAAGCCGCCACACTCAACCCTGTCAGCTCAACCTAACTACTGTTTCTATTCAAACATCACAAAAGAATTCACAATGCACCCCATATTTCTCCCTCTCCTTGAGCTCAATGGTTCAGTTTCCGTGCAAATCTGACACAAAAGGTATGTACAATAACAGCTAATATGTCACAGGGAGAAAATTCAAAATGGTCAACCGTTATACATTTAAGAAGGTGATACTCAAAAGGCAATATGTTCCAATGTTGACCATAAAATAAAGAAGTTTCAGAATGTTACTGCTCGATTGGCACAAAACCTGAGTTTGTATCTCTGTCCAAGGGCAATTACAGTTTTTGGGAAAGCGGGGTGCACAGTTCAGAAAGGGGGGTGCACAGTTCAGAAAGGGGGGTGCACAGTTCAGAAAGGGGGCTGCACAGTTCAGAAAGCGGCTGCACAGTTCAGAAAGCGGGTGCAAAGTTCAGAAGCGGGTGCACAGTTCAGAAAGGGGGGTGCACAGTTCAGAAAGCGGGTGCACAGTTCTGAAAGGGGGTGCACAGTTCAGAAAGGGGTGCACAGTTCAGAAAGGGGGTGCACAGTTCCAGAAAGGGGTGCACAGTTCAGAAAGGGGGTACACAGTTCAGAAAGGGGTGCACAGTTCAGAAAGCGGGTGCACAGTTCTGAAAGGTGCACAGTTGGGGTGCACAGTTCAGAAAGGGTGCACAGTTCAGAAAGGGGTGCACAGTTCAGAAAGGGGGTGCACAGTTCAGAAAGGGGGTGCACAGTTCAGAAAGGGGTGCACAAGGGGGGTGCACAGTTCAGAAAGCGGTGCACAGTTCAGTGAAAGGGGGTGCACAGTTCAGAAAAGGGGTGCACAGTTCAGAAAGGGGTGCAGTTCAGAAAGCGGGTGCACAGTTCAGGGCACTGAACAGGGGGGTGCACAGTCCCTGAAAGGGGGTGCACAGTTCAGTTCAAAAGGGGGTGCACAGTTCAGAAGGGCAGAAGCGTCCAGGTGCCGGTGCACAGTTCAGAAAGGGCGCACAGTTCTGAAAGGGGTACCGAGTTCTGAAAGGGGTGCACAGTTCAGAAAAGGGTGGCACAGTTCTGAAAGGGGGGTGCACAGTTCAGAAAGGGGGTGCACAGTTCAGAAAGGGGGGTGCACAGTTCATTTTCATCCGTTTTCACAAGAGTTTCAATGGTCATTTAATAAACTTTCAGGACAAAAGGGGGGATGCGCACCCTGCACCCCTCTGGATCCGCCTATGCTGTTAATACATTTGGTCAAATACTACAAGTGTATATTTCTGCATGTACACAGTAAGTTTGTAAATTCATCAGTGAAAGGAAGACAACTTTCATCTTGCTCCCTGAACGTACTTATAGTGGTCTGTAGTGGCCATGATCATCTTGCACTCAAAACAATGGAGTTCCTGCACGGCTCGTGGGTAGCGCAAGCCTCGATGCTCCGACACCTTGGACACGGCAGGGGCATTGAGGGACTTCACTCCAAGCTGCTTGGGCTGCAGACCGGACTCCGGCACACGGATCATTACTTGGTCAGGCGTGGTGTACTTGGCATTCATACCTGTCACAAAACGGGTGATATACTGGATGTTGTTCAAACAGCATTTGGCAATACTCTCGCAATACTTGAGTGGTATAACAATTTTATTGCAGAAATATCACAACAATATCACAGCACTTTTCCAGCAACACTACACCTCTTTGAGTGGCATTTAGAAGATGGTGTGATGAACGTGGAGAGTTGTATGGATATACAAATCAAGTCATCACTTGCTTGATAACGGTGATAGTAGCAACAAAGAGATGTCGCTCATATTAATAATTGTATATCCATAGAACTCTCTCGTTATTCAACACTACACCTATTTAACAGGTATATTTCAGCAACATCACTGCCATATTCCCATAATATCACAGTTTCTTTCTATATTCCAACAACATAACATCATCCTGAACATCATCGACTCTGTTCAGTGGTTGCAATGTTGCTTGGGTAACACTCCACATTGCGGGCAAACGACACACCATCAGCCAATACACAGCCTGACCACCATGTGCATCTCACAAGAAACATGCAGTACCTAGTCCTGATATATAGCTGGAATATTATTGAGTGCGACTTTAAACAACAAGCAAACACAAAAAGCTGATACAGCAATCTATTGGTGGAAATTTTACAAACATTTTCATATCTTTGTCATCTTGTTAACATTTTGATAACTACTTTGAGTGGCATTTCTAGAAGTTGGAGAGTCAGATAAGGACAACTTTATGAGTAAGGGAGTGAGTGAGTTTAGTTTTACGACGCACTCAGCAATATTCCAGCTATATTTGCGCAGTCTGAAAATAATAGAGTCTGGACCAGACAATCCAGTGATCAACAGCATGAGCATCGATCTGCCCAATTGGGAACCGATGACATGTGTCAACTAAGTCAGTGAGCCTGACCACCCGATCCTGTTAGTCGCCTCTTACGACAAGCATAGTCGCGACAAACTTTATGGATGAACAACTTATTTATTCTTTATTCACATACTTGATTGACAATGCTACAAGAATCGGTATCGAAACGTCACATCACCTGAATAAAGAAGTTGTTCATCCATAAAGTTTGTCCTTATCTAACATTTTTATAGTCTTACTCTATACTTGAAACTCAGAGGTATATTATTATGACTTGAAACCTCTGACAACTCAGAACGAATTATTTTAAAAGAAGTGGTATAACTACCTATAACTCCCTTCTGATTTGGCATGTGGTCTCTCTTTCGATGAGCCTTGACTTCCTGTGCATTGAAGAACGTGAGCTTGCACAGTTGACACTTTTTGGCGTTAGTCTTCGACTGGTGTCGGAGTAGATGGTGGTAGTAGTTCTGAGTCTGTCCCCAGCCCTGGGAGACGAACTTCACGTGGAACACCTTGAGGCAGTACAGGCACAGCAGACACTCCGAGTTCTCGTGCTTCTGCAACACATGATTGTTACCATGGTTACATTAATACACTCCAATGTCTATTTTTGTTACTTTTTTAAATTCAGTTGGATTATTAGGAAAAAAATAAACTGAAAATGATTTTCAAATTATTTGTTTCTAAATGGTTATAAATGCCATATGTTGGCAGAGATGTTAGGGGGAGAGTGAGTGAGTGAGCGAGTTGAGGTTTAGGTTTACCACTTTCAGCAATACTCTAGCAATACCACAGCAGGGACACCATAAATGTGCTGGAATGTCTCATCCAGACTTGATCATTCAGGCTGACTGAGTTTAGTTTTACACCGCTTTTAGCAATATTCCAGCAACATCACGGCGGGGGACACCAGAAATGGGCTTCACACATTGTACCCATGTGGGGATTCAAACCCGGGTCTTCGGCGTGACGAGCCAACGCTTTAACCATTAGGCTACCCCGCCGCCCCCTCATTCAGACTGACGTCATATAGCTTGAATATTGCTGAGTGTGGTGATTAACAAAAAACAAACTGAGTGAAATAAATAATGATTTTCACATTTTCTTTTCAGTTGTTTTAGTGGTGACTGATTGACCTTGACTAAGGGAAATAACAACTGACCTTCTTGAAGTGGTCGACGACATCGCTGTACATAGAGGAGCGGAAGTGGCACAGCTGACAGATGTATGGCATCTCACACGCGTTGTGATTCTGTCTCATGTGACTTGTCAAGCTCTGACGGCTCTCATGGTCCTTTTCACAGATCCGGCACAGCAGGACATTTGTGTTATTCATATGCACCTGGAAACAAATAGTGGGAATGTATCATTACACTGAACAGTGTGTCAGGTATATTGTATGTCAGCAGAAACGTTCAGGAAACGATGTGTACAAGTCAAACAGATCTGGCACAGTTGAGTGAGTGAGTTAAATTTTACCATGCACTCAGCAATATTCCACCTATCTAGTGATCAACAACATGAGCATCGATCTACGCAATTGGGATACAATGATATATATAAACCAAGTCGGCGAGTCTGACCACCTGATCCTGTTAGTCACCTATTACGACAAATATGGGTTGCTGAAGATCAATTCTAACCCGGGTCTTCACGTGTCTGACAGAGTTGAACATTTGTGTTATTCATGTGCAATTTGGAATAGAGAGACTGAACTTATCATCGCGAGTAAACAGAGTGTTGGCAGTATCACAAAATGTTATATTTTTACAAAATGATTCATGTGCGAAACTGCTTGTAATGAGTTACCTTCTCAAATGTATCTGCTTCTCGAATGGTGTGTCGAACTGCTTGTAGCAGTGTTTATATTGACTGAGTTACCTTCACAATGTGCGTCTGCATCTCGAATGGTGTGTCGAACTGCTTGTAGCAGTGTTAATATTGACTGAGTTACCTTCTCAATGTGCGTCTGCATCTCAATGGTGTGTCGAACTGCTTGTAGCAGTGTTAATATTGACTGAGTTACCTTCTCAATGTGCGTCTGCATCTCGAATGGTGTGTCGAACTGGCTTGTAGCAGTGTTAATATTGACTGAGTTACCTTCTCAATGTGCGTCTGCATCTCGAATGGTGTGTCGAACTGCTTGTAGTCGTGTCTATATTGACTGAATTACCTTCTCAATGTGCGTCTGCATCTCAAATGGTGTGTCGAACTGCTTGTAGCAGTGTTTATATTGACTGAATTACCTTCTCAATGTGCGTCTGCATCTCGAATGGTGTGTCGAACTGCTTGTAGCAGTGTCTATATTGACTGAATTACCTTCTCAATGTGCGTCTGCATCTCGAATGGTGTGTCGAACTGCTTGTAGCAGTGTTAATATTGACTGAATTACCTTCTCAATGTGCGTCTGCATCTCGAATGGTGTGTCGAACTGCTTGTAGCAGTGTTTACACTGAGTGAGGTCACTGAGGTCAAGGTTCTGCTGCTTCTCGCTGTCAATGTGACCCTGCATGTGCATCATCGTCTTCACATTGTTGTAGAGCATCTTGGAGCAGTACCAGCACTGGAATGGTGAACAAACAAGGGGTCAGTGGCAGCAAACACTTACTCCAACAAAGCCCACAAACCCTATCAGAGGTCTTTATGGATCATAGTAACACAACTATTATTTTGGAATTAGTGATTGAATATTCAGTAAGATGCAGACTTGGATCCAGTATATACCTCTTTGAAACTGAGCGTTAGCGTACAGACTTATGACACTAAGGAATACAGAGCTCCAGATAAGATTTAGCTCATGTGGGTACTGTACCCACTGTATTTTTTGGGAGTGGGTATTATAAATGTTGAGTGGGTATTTCATTTTCCGTTACCCACTGCTTTCAAATATGTGCATATTTCACTCACCTAAGTATTATGTCATTGAGTAAGTTTACTAAGCAGGTATGTTCTGCCTTATGTCATACCTAATCAAAACCAACTTAAATATAATGGAAATGATTTCATGAAAAATCACTCATACTATACTGACAGTACAACACTAGTCCTATACTAACAGTACAACTTGATAGCAATCTCTGTCTTTTTCATTATGCAAGCGATTTTTATCAATATATTCCTGTTCGTATTTGTTTTAAACTGTTTGCGTATCTAACATTTTAAATGCGTAATTGGTCACAACAATTATTTTTCAATGTGTAATTTGAAATTTTCTATGCGTATTTTACCCGGATACGCAGCTTATTTGGGCCTCTGGGAATAGAGTTTTCACTTTCACTCCAAGATGAAATAACTTGCCAATGAAGGCAATGGTTGTCTATGTATCGTGCATGCCAGTACCTTAAACCTGTGTTCCCCTTTCTCCTCCTGGTATGTGGGGTCGCCCTCCTTCTTGCCATAGTAATACTCGTCTAAGGGCACAAGAGTTCCTGCAAAACAACACCAGCAGCAAAGTCAGTGATACCTGACACCCCAACAAAGTCCCTGACCTGCAACATCAACTGCATTACCACTGCCATAGCACTAGAACAGGCCATATTGATACTGTGATTAGGGCCAGACTTTGGCTTGAAGAACCAATGCTTGAACACTGAACATAATAGAACATCGAACATTTTCTGTGTGAACTTCAGACAACATGGATTGAATGATCTCCAGAGAAATACCAAAATATATGCATTCAAGCCTGACTGACAAGCTGTGACATTAAAATGATTCTCACAATCAGTAAATGAAATTCTGTAAAATGTGATCAAACTATTATTGACGGAGACCATCATTTCCAATTAAAATGACAGATTACGAATGGCTTCTTTTTTTACTGGATTTATCTCCCTAAGTATTGATACTGTCTACAAGTTAATACTAAGTTTCACACAGCAAGTGAGCTAATCTGCCTTCATGTCTCCATAATACATCTAGTGATGAAGATGTGAAGTGTTACCGATATCGTCAGCCTCCAACCGGCGGGGCTTCTTCTTGGGGGGGTTCACGTACTGGGGGTACTGCAAGGGGCCGCTTGCCTGACATGTTTGACACCTGGAGACCCGGGGGCGGGAACTGGCCTTGGGGGTAGTTCTGGAAGGAATCTGACACAGACAAGGGTGAGCCGAGTTGAAATGACTTTTTCAAGCAACAGTAAGCAACTTCTTTATTTCCAGGGGTGGAAATAACTTTATACAGATTCTGTGTACCGTTGTCATGTAAGACAACTTGTACAAGAATCTGTATCCAATACGTCAATTTTGTTGTTGATTTTTAAATAAAGAAGTTGTTATCCATAAAAACTGTGTTCCATATTGTACGTCTCAACTTCTAAAAATGCCACTCAAACAAGTTGAAATGACTTGTTTCAGCAACAGTACAAGCAGATACACTATCAGTGTCAGAAAGTGTCGACTTCCCTTAGCAAAACTACTAACAATGAAAATATACTTTCCCCAAGAACAAACAATTTCCTTATTAGTCCCCAAAGAGGAATTTGTAATTCTTCATACCCTACATTGGTTAACTGAAAGATCACAACTCAACAGCTTCAGTTGAACTGCAAGATATGGAAAAGGTCAAATTATGTTCCCCAAAGTATGATATGCATAATGGCCACCACGTAAGTGCCCACAGTTTAGTGCCTCACGAAAGTTAATTTTGATGCTAAGTCACGTTAATGTTACCTTCTGGAGTTGACCATTGTTGAATAAAAGACTAATACAACAGCTGAGCTACAATGCTGACGAGAGATACAGGATTGACATTCTTTCACCATACTTTTTTGTTTTTTTCAATTTGGCTCCCGAATGTATGAACTCCTACGAGGAAACTTTACCTGATGACACTCAGGAGCCTGTACATGTGAGAGCCTTGTTACCCCCTCCCGTCACCAAGGTGAGTACAAATCATGCCCCCCTAACCCCACCCTGGTCAGACATGTGGGAACCCTCCCCCTACTCCAGTGAACTGTGAAGTACCTGCTCTCTTTGGCATGAATGGACTCTTCTGTATGCTGACAGCCTGGTTGCGGGGCTGCAGCTGGTTGTTGCCCACGTTCTGTTGCGGCTGGAAGAAAATGTACACAACATACAAACCCATCAGGGTTGGGAGATTCATGCATGGGAGTGCCAATGACACTTGTAACTTGTAATGCCAAGGCAAGAATGAGAAATATTGTTTAAAAAAAATACATTGTATGATGTGATGAAGTCAGTGACAATGTTCTAATATCCAAGCCTACTTAATTTATGAAATTTCTGGATTCAGAAAGTTAATAGGATCTATCAATCTGTAATTTTTGGTGAGATCGTGTCTTTCTTTGGGTATGAGGTTAGATCGAATTTATTCTCATTGGCACATTTCAATTCCAAACGGTGCACCTCAACATCTTTGGGAGGAACAATGTTCCATCGTTTAACATTTTCAAAACCTCTGCAACAACTCATGACATTATTTTATCCAAGACAAAAGCATTGAGATTCAAATAACAAAGTTTTCAATACACTTCAATTTCTCGTCCTCTTAGTCATAGACCACTATAACGAAATCATTCAGGTTATCATTTGATCACCAGCTGCACGTAAGAGGCAACTTATGGGATCGGGTGGTCAGGCTTGCTGACCTGGTTGACACATTTCATCATATCCAAACTGTGTAGACAGATGCACATGCTGTTAATCTCTGGATTGTCTGGTCCAGACTCGAGTATTTACAGACTGCCACCACATAGCTGGAATATTGCTGAGTGCGGCGTAAAACTAAACTTACTCACTCACAAGATGCACCTACCATGACCTGCATCAAAGGGCGGATAACCCACTGGTTGCCAGTGCCGGTGGGTGTCTGCCCTGGGACGTTGACAAACTTGTACACCTGTTGGGGGGTAGGGTTGAGGAGGCGTGCCGCTGTGGAGACCGCTGGCTGGGCAGCAGCCATCTGCTTGGGGGGACTCTCTCCAACTATAACTACATCGGCTTGTGAGGCTGTTACATGATCACAACACTTACAGTGAATGCTCTTGTCACTTACACTGAGCACTCTAGCAAATGAATGAATGAAATCTTACATTATATTTATCACATATACTGAACACATAAGTCAGTTACACTGAACTCTTTAGTCACTCATAACGAATTCTCTCGTCACCATTACTGAACTCTCCTGTCACTTATACTTAGCTCTCCAGTCACTTATACTTAGCTCTCCAGTCACTTAGACTTAGCTCTCCAGTCACTTATACTTAGCTCTCCTGTCACTTATACTTAGCTCTCCTGTCACTTATACTTAGCTCTCCTGTCACTTATACTTAGCTCTCTAGTCACTTATACTTAGCTCTCCAGTCACTTATACTTAGCTCTCCAGTCACTTATACTTAGCTCTCCTGTCACTTATACTTAGCTCTCCAGTCACTTATACTTAGCTCTCCAGTCACTTATACTTAGCTCTCCTGTCACTTATACTTAGCTCTCCAGTCACTTATACTTAGCTCTCTCTCCTGTCACTTATACTTTAGCTCTCCTGTCACTTATACTTAGCTCTCCTGTCACTTATACTTAGCTCTCTCCTGTCACTTACTTAGCTTAGCTCCAGTCACTTATACTTAGCTCTACAGTCAGTCACTTATACTTAGCTCTCTAGTCACTTATACTTAGCTCTCCTGTCACTTATACTTAGCTCTCCAGTCACTTATACTTATACTTAGCTCTCCTGTCACTTATACTTAGCTCTCCTGTCACTTATACTTATCCTGTCACTCTATAGCTCTCCTGTCACTTAGCTTATACTTAGCTCTCCAGTCACTTATACTTAGCTCTCTAGTCACTTATACTTAGCTCTCTCCAGTCACTTATACTTAGCTCTCCAGTCACTTATACTTCTCTAGCTTAGCTCTCACTCAGTCTTAGCTCTCTAGTCACTTATACTTAGCTCTCCTTGTCACTTATACTTAGCTCTCTCAGTCACTTATACTTAGCTCTCTAGTCACTTATACTTAGCTCTCCTGTCACTTATACTTAGCTCTCCAGTCACTTATACTTAGCTCTCCTGTCACTTATACTTAGCTCTCAGTCACTTATACTTAGCTCTCCAGTCACTTATACTTAGCTCTCCAGTCACTTATACTTAGCTCTCTAGTCACTTATACTTAGCTCTCCAGTCACTTATACTTAGCTCTCTAGTCACCATTATTGAACTCTCTAGTCACTTATACTTAGCTCTCCAGTCACTTATACTTAGCTCTCCAGTCACTTATACTTAGCTCTCCTAGTCACTTATACTTAGCTCTCCAGTCACTTATACTTAGCTCTCCAGTCACTTATACTTAGCTCTCCAGTCACTTATACTTAGCTCTCCAGTCACTTATACTTAGCTCTCTAGTCACTTATACTTAGCTCTCTAGTCACTTATACTTAGCTCTCCAGTCACTTATACTTAGCTCTCCAGTCACTTATACTTAGCTCTCCAGTCACTTATACTTAGCTCTCCAGTCACTTCTAGTCACTTACTTTAGCTCTCCAGTCATACTTAGCTCTCCAGTCACTTATACTTAGCTCTCCAGTCACTTATACTTAGCTCTCCAGTCACTTATACTTAGCTCTCCAGTCACTTATACTTAGCTCTCTAGTCACTTATACTTAGTTCCCACCTATGCTGTTGTTCTAGTCACTTATACCAAACTGTCTTGAAACTTTTACTCAACACTCCAGTCACTTACTCTTGACTATGTTTACTTAGCGCTCTAGTCACTTATATTTAACACTAGTCACCTATACCTTAGGGGTGAAACGGTATACTGCGGTATTAGTAGAACCACAGTATTTTGCCTTCGGTTTGGTATCCCAAAAATCAGTATTTTCGGTTTTCGTACCGTTATTTTATTCACCTTTTTAAACCTTTTCTAAAATGTCTAGAAATAGCTATATATTGTCCAAATTTATACGTTTCTTTTCTTTTCTACATTATGATAATACCTCATATACCAAACTGAAACAGACCGAACCGAAGGCTTTGTACCGCAATACGTACCATACCGTGGTAAGAGCGTACTGTTTCACCCATACTATGCTTAACTCTCTGGTAACTTGTACTAACATTCTGGTCATAATTACAACTCTCTGCACTTACACTTAATGCTCTTGTCACTTTTACTTAATGCTAGGGAGAGAACTTTTCCCGTAAAACAGAACATTCTTGCACACAAAAATTATATAAAATATCTTAAAAGATCTGCAATTATTTTGTTCCAACCTGGCCTATTTTGACCCCAAGGCCTACTCACTTGCACTACTAGGCGACACAGCATTCTGCTGTGGTGCTGCTGCAATCTGTTGCTGCTGCAGCTTCTGTTGTCGTAGCTGTTGCTGCTCCAGCCGCATCTGCTCGTCCTTCGCAACCTTGATCTTCCTCCTGGCCTCCTTGTACTCCTCCACCTCGCGTTTGAAGGCCTCGATCTGGGCCGGGAGCAGCTCCTCCTCCTGACACTCCATCATCAGCTCCACGGTGTCGCTGTACTGGCGACGCAGACCGTAGGATGTCGGCCGACCCTTCATCTCTGAAACAGCAGACACATGGTTAAACCGACCAGCATCCACATCACCATTTCCGCAGACTTTGCAGACATTCTTTTCACTAAATCACAGACTCTCTATTTACATAGCCGCAGAGGTGGTCTACAGGGACATGCTCTATTCACATAAACCATGGAGGTAGTCTCCAGGCAGACTCTCTTTCCACAAAGCCACATGAAGACTCTCTATCCATAAAACAACAGAATCAGTTTCCAATGAGACATTCAATTCACAAGATCTCAGAGGCAGTTCCCGGCAATTGGTCTTCAGCTACCCATACTATTTGTCAGAAGCATCTTACAGAATCGGTAAGAAACCGAAGGCTCCTAAATCTATCCCAAAGTTGACAAACGATAACCGTTCAACTACACTTTTCAATGTCATCAACAAGTTTCACTCCAAATATTTGTGGGTGTACACAAAGATGGCGGAAGATGGTCCCACCACCGTGACACTGCTGCCCAAGGAAAAAAAGCTTAATGTTTCATTCATAACAGGAAGTTATTTAAGAAGTTTTATTTTTATTTTTAGCTATCCAACAACCAATAAAGTGTTAAATAACCTACCTCCTCTTATAACACAACATTTTGTCCTTGGGACCAAAAAAGTGAAAATACAGAATGGAATATACAACAACAGCGGGCTACTACTCATCCAAATGTCAAATCTGTGACCAAATAACACATAATATACAGGCACTGTAGCTCGTCTCGATATACAGACAACGGTTTCAAACGTCAACAAAAACACAAACTTGAAAGAAGTCGATGGCAGTATAGATGCTAAAAATACTACAACAAACAGAAACACAAATGATTTGATCAAAATAACAAATGTCAATTTCAGAGAAGGAAAAGTTTACGAAGCATACCTGTTGGAGAAGCTAGGTCAAAATCCGAACTTCCTCCTTCAGCTGAACAAGGCAATTAACCATGAACACAGTACAGTCACAACATGATCTGTATCTCGACACCTGACACCAAGCAGCAACAATATGATCTGTATCTCGACACCTGACACCATGAACACAGCACAGCCACAGTATCTGTATCTCAACACCTGACACCATGGACACAGTGCACCCACAATATGATCTGTATCCCGACACCTGACACCATGAACACATTAGTCACAATATGACCTGTATCTCGACACCTGACACCATGAACACAGTACAGTCCCAATATGCTCTGTATCTCGACACCTGACACCATGAACACATTACAGTCACAATATGACCTGTATCGCGACACCTGACACCATGGACACAGTACAGACACAATATGATCTGTATCTCGACACCTGACACCATGGACACAGTACAGCCTGACACATGGACACAGTGCAGTCACAATATGATCTGTATTTCGACACCTGACACCATGCAGCCACAATATGACCTGTATCGACACCTGACACCATGAACACAGTACAGCCACAATATCTGTATCTCGACACCTGACACCATGAACACAGTACAGCCACAATATCTGTATCTCGACATCTGACACCATGAACACAGTACAGACACAATATGATCTGTATCTCGACACCTGACACCATGAACACATTACAGTCACAATATGACCTGTATCTCAACACCTGACACCATGGACACAGTACAGCCTGACACATGGACACAGTGAAGCCACAATATGATCTGTATTTCGACAATTGACACCATGGACACAGTGCAGCCACAATATCTGTATCTCGACACCTGACACCATGAACACAGTACAGCCACAATATCTGTATCTCGACACCTGACACCATGAACACAGTACAGACACAATATGATCTGTATCTCGACACCTGACACCATGAACACATTACAGTCACAATATGACCTGTATCTCGACACCTGACACCATGGACACAGTACAGTCCCAATATGCTTTGTATCTCAACACCTGACACCATGAACACATTACAGTCACAATATGACCTGTATCGCGACACCTGACACCATGGACACAGTACAGACACAATATGATCTGTATCTCGACACCTGACACCATGGACACAGTACAGCCTGACACATGGACACAGTGCAGTCACAATATGATCTGTATTTCGACACCTGACACCATGCAGCCACAATATGACCTGTATCGACACCTGACACCATGAACACAGTACAGCCACAATATCTGTATCTCGACACCTGACACCATGAACACAGTACAGCCACAATATCTGTATCTCGACACCTGACACCATGAACACAGTACAGACACAATATGATCTGTATCTCGACACCTGACACCATGAACACATTACAGTCACAATATGACCTGTGTCTCGACACCTGACACCATGGACACAGTACAGTCCCAATATGCTCTGTATCTCAACACCTGACACCATGAACACATTACAGTCACAATATGACCTGTATCGCGACAACTGACACCATGGACACAGTGAAGCCACAATATGATCTGTATTTCGACAATTGACACCATGGACACAGTGCAGCCACAATATGATCTGTATCTCGACACCTGACACCAAGAACACAGTACAGTCACATTGGAACAGCCATCAGAAACGGCCAAACCAACATGCCAATGTTCCTGAATTAATTCCACACCATCTCGCAAATGGATAGGGAGGAAGGTTTTACATCAATTTTAGCAATATTCCAGCAATATCAAGGCCAGGGACACCAGAAATGGGCTGAATATTGGGAATCAATCCTGGGTTTTTAGTGTGACAGGCAAATGCTTTAACCACTAGGCTACTCCCACCCCCAAGCTCATGGAGGTGAGGTGAGGTGAAATTGGGTTTAACATCGTGCTTGAGAATATTTCGCTCATATGACGACGTGCATGTGTGTGTATGTGTATGTGGGGCTGCTTGTACTAGCCCAGACTGAAGCTGGTTTTATAGTGCTAGCCCACTGAAATACCATGCCGCAGTGAAGCATGAATACCCCACTCAGACACATTGTACTGACTCTGAGCCGACCAGTCCTTGTTGTACCCATTAATGCCGAGCGCCAGGCAGGGTCCAACACGCACCATCTTTTGGTATGACGCGGTAGAGGATCGAACCCACAATCTTCCGCTCTCCGAGCAGACGCTCTAACCACTACACCACGGAGGCGGACCCAAGCTCATGGAGAAACACCATAAAGAGAATTGAAGAGATGAATAAAAATTATTTCTGCCAAGAAGCACAAGTTGTTAAAGAAAATGCATTTCTATCGCTGGCTTAACCTTCAGGAAAGTGAGTGAGTGAGTGAGTTTAGTTTTACGCCGCTTTTAGCAATATTCCAGCAATATCACGTCCGGGGACACCAGAAATGGGCTTCACACATTGTACCCATGTGGGGAATCAAACCGGGTCTTCGGCGACGAGCGAACGACGTAACCACTAGGCTACCCCACCATCCCCCTTCAGGAAAGATTCACACTGTTGCAAAAGAGAAAACAACAAACAACCTGTACTTCGTAAACTTGATTCTTAGGCATTAAACTAACACTGATGTCAAAACCTATATAAACAGAAAATACAGTTTGCTAGCAAAGGTGGAAGATATGTCAATGGGTCTCTCTCATAATGTTACAATATCAGCTGAAGATCATAGGGTTTTCTAGGTCTGAATTCAAACAAATCAAAGGTGAACGCTGTGATACAATATTTCAATGAATGAATACCTGAAGACACCTAAATTGGTTGCTTCTGGTAATTCACAGTCTAAACAATGTACATGTGACCTTTTCTACCAATCAGACATCAGCTTTCCAAATAATTCCGCCTTTTTTAGTTTACCATCTCATGACTGATCCCCAAACTGCTTCAGAAAACTGCACACAAATACACCGTTGACTAGTACACACAGAGTACACTCGTTACAGTACACCCATCATAGAACTCTCTTGATAGTACATCCAGAGTACACCCATTACAGTACACCCATCACAGTACTCTCTTGATAGTACACCCAGAATACACCCATCATAGTACTCTTTTGATAGTACACCCATCATAGAACTCTCTTGTTAGTACACCCAGGGTACACTCATTACAGTACACCCATCACAGTACTCTCTTGATAGTACACCCATCATAGTACTCTCTTGATAGTACACCCATCACAGTACTCTCTTGATAGTACACCCATCATAGTACTCTCTTGATAGTTAAAACCCATCATAGTACTCTCTTGGTTGATAGTACACCCATCATAGTACTCTCTTGATAGTACACCCATCACAGTACTCTCTTGATAGTACACCCATCATAGTACTTTGATAGTACTCTCTCTGATAGTACACCCATCATAGTACTCTCTTGATAGTACACATCATAGTCATAGTACTCTTTGATAGTACATAGTACTCTCTTGTACACCCATCATAGTACTCTCTTGATAGTACACCCATCATAGTACTCTCTTGATAGTACACCCATCATAGTACTCTCTTGATAGTACATCCATCATAGTACTCTCTTGATAGTACACCCATCATAGTACTCTCTTGATAGTACACCCATCATAGTACTCTCTTGATAGTACACCCATCATAGTACTCTCTTGATAGTATATCCAGAGTACACCCATTACAGTACACCCATCATAGTACTCTCTTGATAGTACACCCATCATAGTACTCTCTTGATAGTATATCCAGAGTACACCCATTACAGTACACCCATCATAGTACTCTCTTGATAGTACACCCAGAATACACCCATCATAGTACTCTTTTGATAGTACACCCATCATAGTACTCTCTTGATAGTACACCCATCATAGTACTCTCTTGATAGTACACCCATCATAGAACTCTCTTGTTAGTATATCCAGAGTACACCCATTACAGTACACCCATCATAGTACTCTCTTGATAGTACACCCAGAATACACCCATCATAGTACTCTTTTGATAGTACACCCATCATAGTACTCTCTTGATAGTACACCCATCATAGTACTCTCTTGATAGTACACCCAGTGTACACCCATCACAGT